AATTCAATGAGTTGTTAAAGGCACCGTCCACCCAGATTTTCGACGTCCAGGTTTTTGTCATATTAGGGCTTTCCCATGTCCCTCATTCCGATTATGAAGTCAAGAATCCGCGTAAACCCCAATAATCCCCATTCCGGAGAACCCACAGGCCGGCTTCCCGGAACGGTGATTCGATGGGCGCGCACGTGTGGGCGGACATGGATGGGGAGGGCGGCACCGTCTGGAGTCCTCGTGCATCTTCGTTATTTTCTCGCTTCCGAAGCTACATTTTGCTTCACGACTTGGGCTTTGGCTTGATAGAGGGCCCTACTGCCATATGCTGCCAAAAGCTCAAGACCCTCAACTTAGAGTGGACAATGCCTCTGAGATTGACGGCAGTTCGCCATACCAAAGCCCTTAGCTGGACATATACTTTACTTAAATCTAAACTTTTACTGCAAAAACTCGGCCAAATATAGTGCCGGTAACAACGAAAGAAAACACGAGAAGAGGCCATAGTAAGCGAGATCAATTTATAAAAATGTGCTCGTCAAAACAGTGTCACTGGGGGTAAGTGGTTCATCAAGAGATCACTTGATACTTGTACGAAGTGTCACAGTGAATCTAATATTGCTCCATGCTATGGTTAAACTTATTGATGAGCCCCGTTCGTGAATACGGGATAATCGCTTTCTGAGGTAAGGTTTAACCCTCAAGGGTTCTTTGATGGATATGGCCAGTGAACCTTGAGGGCAAACTTATTGAGATTAGGGTTTATCCTCAAGGTTCGTTGATGTATACGACGGCAACTGTACTTGATGTCGATGTGCTGAGCGGCCTCAATTGTCTGCAGTTATCGCAGGTCTCAAAAGCCATTGACAACTCATGTCACGCCCCCAGCAAACCTTGAGTAGAGCGGAGGAGTGAAGTTACAAGTGATGTGCAAGGGCTTTTCGACCAAAAACAGCGAAGCAAGATAATGAACTCCACCATATGCCTTTAATAGCTGAGACAAACAAACAGAGATCTAATACTTGCAAAATTCAAATGCAGATTGCAAGAAATAAATTTATGTTGTTTAAAAGATTATTGAATGTAAAGGTTTTGTCGGAAGTGCAGAAAAAGCAAAGGCACCGATTCTGCTTATGAAAGACTACATATTACACTATGGCCTCGCACCAATAGATTTCTCCGCGTTTTTAATTATTTGTCCAATTGTAGGATACGTCCAGAAGATGAGTTTAGACTAGGAAGTTTCCAGCGAACAATTAGAGTTCAAATAGAGTTGAGTTTTTTGTTTTTCCCACTATTTTTCTTTATGCTAAAAAACCGTTCGGTCCAAAATTCTATGCTTTGCGGAATAAAACGGATGCTTGATTTGAACTTATATTCCGAAAACTCTGCTCAAGGATTACCAAGTCAGAGTGTGGCACAAGGGTGGCAAATGTCAGGCTGGAAATTTGAAGTAGCAAGGGAGGCCTTTTTAGTCGAAGTGGCCCTTGCAAATAACATCTACACGACTTTGTAGAGCATTAAAAATGGTTCCAAATCTGTCTTTCTTATAAGCATCTCCGGAGGCCGAGTTAAGAGCGTTTTTAGCTTGAAAAATTGAAGGTGCAACTGGAACAATACCGTCCATAATTGCTCAAACGGTCAGATGTCACTTATGAGAGCACTTCGTTTCATGAATGCCTTCCGTCTAATAACCCCATACTCAACACCGTTCTAGTTGAGCGCAGAAAAGATCGCAAACATTGTTTTAACATAGATTCTGCGTTCAAATTTCGCTCCAAAAACACTCATAACTCGGCGTCCAGAAGCCCGCAGATAGCAGAAACAGACATGGAATCTATGAGACTTATTTGAAAAGGCCACTTCGACTGGAAAGTTTCCCCTTGTAAATTTCTTTGCACAAAGAACAAATGATTCGATTACGGCGCACACATAAATCATGCTATCAACTTTGGTAAGTAGACGGAAAAAAGCTAAGAAGAACAAACTGAAAAAAGTTGTGAAATTTTATGTGAGTGAAAAATGCAGTAAGCTCGTTTTGAAAATTTCCCGATACCAAAAAATGAAAAAATGACTCGCTTGCAGCGCGCAGATGACGAGGCACAAAACTTGGTCTGCATGCGCGCAGTAGGATAAGTAACAAAGCAGGAAAAATAATGAGCAACTTATGTAAATAAAGAATGCCCAACTTCTTTTCAAATACCCACCTTAAGCAGGCTAAACTTGAAAACAGGTTTTATCAAATTTTTACATAAATCTGTTTTAAATCTAAATTTGACTGTACAGTAAAATTCTGGTTTCAAAAGTCCTCTTTGTTAGAGTTCAAATCATTAACGCTCGCGGCTTTAGCAAAAGCGTATTCAATTCGCAGGGGCCCATTTGCGACCTTTGTGCCGAACCCTGGGGAGGAACCAACGTGGCGAATCCGTCGAAGCTCTTTCGAAGCAAATCTCTCGCTTCGGAAGCAATCTTTGGCAGCGCGAGTTGAGCAGCTATACAGTTGGGTTCGAAAGTTAATCTACTGTCGACATCCAACTCTCATCACCCATTAGTGGACGGGTTTTGAGGTCCGCAGACACGCGCACCATACCTTTCCACTTCTTCTGATTCGCCAAATGACAATTTAATGATGTCGCGCTTTGCTCCAAAGCAGCTTGGATGAAGAAAGTGGATGAAGTTCATATGTGTGACGATTGTTTTATGTCTAGAAAATATTGCTGATCAAACTTCTTAAGGCACACATAACATTCACAATTTTAAGGGAAGTCGTTGAAAATATTGTTACTAGATCTGACTTCCACCGTGCTTCCATATGTGCATGGATTTAATCGTAGTTTAGTTTAAATAAATTTTTGCAAATCATGATGTTGGTTTTGAGGTTCAAACATTTACAGTGACCGCCAAAAAGTTGCAAACAAGTCGCCCTCCTGTTTTCAGCACTCACTTTCAGATGGAAGACAAAGATGTAAAAATTTGGATTGCATATTGTGATAGAGCTCATCGAGAGCTACAATCTACACTTGCACTCTCTCGAGCACATGAATTATGAAAATTTCAAAAATGTTTTCTAAAATAAGTCAGAGATTGGCCGCGTCACACTGTTGCGGGCAATAATTCTTCGAACGCGAAAATTTTCTTTTAGGTCTTGGGTCACAAAAAAAATTTTTCCGGACAGATAAGCATACTGTGTTGTAGAGCTCACTGAGGACAATAACCGGGTAGTGGTTACTTTAAAAAAACCCAAGCTTGAATTTTAGTTTGTTTTTTTTCAAAAAATAACTTCTAAATCCCCTTTTCAAGATAAATTTCGTCACATGGTAACCTATTCAAGACCTGACCAAAGCTATTCGGATAAAACGGATGCTCTTTGCCATGCTCTACGCAACGGACGTGTGCTGGTGAGTTTCTTGGCTAGAAATGGCTCTTGACCTTGCGTGTACATGCTCCACCTGCACATCATCACTGACTTGCACCGCTTCACAGGCGTGTAGCTCCGCCGGCTCACTCTACGAGCCTATGCTTACAAGGGAAGGAAGGTTGGTCGAAGTGGCCTTTGGAATGAGATGTACACTATCTTGTAGAGCGTGGAACGCTGATTCCAAATCTGCCTTCGCTATCTGCTGCGGGCTTCTGGGCGAGGAGTTATGAAGGTTTTTGGGAGTAAAAAGTTAATAGTAAAATTAGTGTAAAATCAGTCGTAACATTTTTCCTAGAGCTTAACTAATAATCGGGTCATTCGTGCAACAAATATCCTTGATTCGACTATATCAACTCGCTGCTGCTCCATTTGAACGTCAGAAAAAGGTTGCAACTAATTCTTATACTATTCTTGCATTTGAATTTTTACTCACAAAAACCTTCATAACTTCTCGTCCAGTAGCCCGCAGCAGATAGCAAAAATAGATTTGGAATCAGCGTTCCAAGCTCTACAAGACAATGAACATCCCTTTCTAAAAGGCCCCTTCCCTCCCATGTTAGGCTCATTCGAAAGAGCGTGACCTCCCCGACATGATGGTATGCAAACCAGTAGAGTATGAGAAATCCCGGAGAATCTACGGATGGGGAGGTGACGCGCAGCCATAGAGGTATTTGGAGTGGAGGCTAGTATCAACACTAGAACAGTCTTAGAGCTCCGATATGAACCTATTACAAGAAAATTGACAGTTTTGCACTTCCAGAATGAAACTGGTGGCGAAAGAAGCTTTGCTCAACTTTACCTGATAAATTTTTAGCCTACCACTGAAGCTGCGCTTTGTCACCCCATCCGCAGAATTTCCGGGATTTCTCATACTCAAACAATTTGCATACCATCATATCGAGGAAGTCATGCTCTTTCGAAAGAGCCTAAGCATAGGTTCGTAGATTGATTAGCGACCGAGCTATAAGCCTGTGATGCGGTGCAAGTCAGTGATGTGGCGCAGGCGGGGTACGTGCACGCACTGTCAAGAGCCATTTACAGCGAAGAAAATCACCAGCACACGTCCGATGCACAGAAGATGGCAAAGAGCATTCGGTTTATCCGAAAAGCTTTGTTGGGATGTCTCGATTAGGTTTACATGTGAAGAAATTTGGCTTGAAAAGGGGATCTAAAAGTTATTTTTTGGAAAAAGCAAAATAAAACTCAAACTAGGGGTTTTTTTCAAGTAACCGCTACCCGGTCCTCAGTGAGCTCTACAATTTAGTACGCTTACCTGTCCGGAAAACTTCTGTTTTTGCCCGAAGAAAAGACCTAAAAGAAATTTTTTGCGTTCGAAGAATTATTGTCCGCGACATTGTGACGCGGCCAATCTCGGACTTTTTTTAGAAAAAGATTTTTAAAATTCTTATAATACATGTCTTCCAGAAAATGCAAGGTGCCGTTTATAGCCCTTGAAGAGCTCTATCACATCATGCAATCCATCCGAAAATGAGCATGAAAAAAAGAAGGCGGCTTGTCCGCAAGTTTTTGGCGGTCACTGTAACTCCTTTATACAGCCGTTTCTGTAGAATAATTTGAAGCCATTACATTTGCACAGAGCGAGTTTATTGATGAAGGTTCATTTCAAAAGAAGACTCCTATGCCAAAGATAGACTATTAAATTTTTGTTTTCATAACTCTAATGCTTAATCTTTCACAATAATCAAGGACACTGATATGGCTAAAGAGTCATCTTTGTCACGATAAGTGGGATAAACGAGAGAAGAACTGGCAAAGTACTTGATCCATTGCAGAGGTCCTTATTACAGCAGCATGTGGTGACATCTTTTTTTGTTTCGCAACCTACTTTCTAAAAGCATCAGCTCTTTCAACAAGAAATCAAGGTTATGTCAAACCACAAGGCGAAGAAAGTTTCAAGTACTCATCATGCAATCCGTCGCAAAGTTAGGGCAGCCATAAGTGTGAATATTGTCTTTACCAGATTTCCAAGATTCCCTAGAACTCCATATTTGAATCAACTTTTACTTTTGAAGAAATGTTGTTTACTTCATGCAATAATTTGTGTTACATTCTGTTGTTTTCTTTGGCGGCTTGTCTTTATTCTTCGTACTCCCTGGAGTGATTTTTCATTTCAAAAACACAAGTACAGCAGAAACATACGGTTTCTTGAGCTTTTTTCAGAACGACGAAATTGAACTTAATAGTAGGACGTACCTGTATAGCATTTGAGGGCTAATGCACAGCCGACAAGAGCAAGAGCGATGATTAAATATTTGAGCGAAAACATTCTGGGTGTAGCGCTTATACAAAATACTTATAGGCTAGGATATTTGCGTAGTGATTCACTCCGTTTTTGTTCAAAACTGATAAGGACTAATCCGGAATGCATTTTTTGTTTTATAGATTATTATAATGTTATATTGGATAAGAGAAAATTACTCGATTGCACTGGAACAGCTCAAATCTAATAAATATTTCACCACTTACAATCAGCATTGCACAATTCTAACGCTAGAACATCAAAGTTCGAGAGCTACAATGACTTTCAACTCGCACATTGTGCACAAGTAACCAGTGAAAAGTGCAGCGATTACTTTGTGACTTTCGTTTCTTTGCAAAGCTTTTACAGTAATATTTATCTTTTGCTTAGAAACAGTGATAGGAAAAGCGAAAGTAAGAAATTTAAGAGCATTGATGTCTTCAAACGCCTTGAACCCTTAGCTACAATGAGATGGCTCCTTGTTCAAAAATTCAATCTTTACATGTACTTAGGTACCAGTGGCAGTTAGAAAAATTTTATCAGAAAGGAAAGGGAGCACGACAAAAAATGTTTCGAATGATTGGCCGTAACGCTAGCCGCGACATCCGAACATAATAGCGGATCTATGATGTTTAAAGGCTTCAGCCACTCCTACGAAAAAAAAATGCTAACAGTGCCTAAAAGGTCTGCCTAAAAGCAACAAACAAACCTGAGCTTGACTTTTCTGAAAAATTATTTCTTGCGCAAGTTGATCGCAAAAATCTCTCGAAATGTTGAATTTAATGTAATAGTAGACTTCTTAAACTACTCTATAAAAACAATTTTTCTGAGTGCTAAACGCAGAGAAATTCTATATCGAATCATCTGCTCAATTCTCAACGAAAGTGACGTGATAGAGGAGAAGTCTTCTAGATCAACGAAGTTTGTCGAAGTAAGTGGCTTGACAATATTCTGCATATTTAAATATTTCAAATATTAATAATACTGTCTAATATTTCAAAGAAGATTGAAAGAACATCATGGAAGATCAACATCATAGACAAAATTACGATTCTGATGAAATTTGTTTCCGATGCGATGATGGAGTCGTTTGTCTTAATGATACAAAAAGTGTTGAACTTTGTTGCTCACCTTTGTAGGACTCCTACGCCTGCGCCTTCTTTTATATCTTCTTTTTCGCTTTCCTTTCCCACCCTTTCCGAAGATTTTTAGATCAAAGATATCCAAAATACTTTTACGGCATTCACTCCACTCGTCACAGCCATATATATGTACAGCATCATTGTCCGATTTCTGAGTTTTTCTAAAGATCATAACTTATAATAACGGGCTAAGGATGTTTACGTGACTTTGTGTGTGTGTGTGTGTGTGTGTGTGTGTGTGTGTGTGTGTGTGTATGTGTGTATGTGTGTGTGTGTGTGAGTGTGTCTGTTACGAAATTCGTAGAGAGTGTTCCAGCCAACCTCCTGGGCTCAAATTTTGCACAGCGCATGCTATCCGCATGAAAGTCCAACATGCAAAAGCACGAGCAGATTCGTTGAGTGGATCCTTCAGAAACTGCGCGTCAAACGGATCCACTTTGCATTTGGGCCGCATAATTGGGTCCGTAATTCCACTTTTTGCAAAGTAGTGGATGTTTATGCCAAGTAAAAGTGCAAATCATAAACTTAGACCCAAAAAAGTTTTCAAAAGTTCATTACTTTAGAAAAACGGCGCCAAAAAGTATTGGTTGCGTAAATGGTCAATTTGCCAAAGTTTTAACAGACCATTTGACAAGATTTTTGCACAAAGATGTAGCTCACGGTGACTGCTATTCTTACTGCAACTGTCAAGACCATGGGAAAATGAAAAACCTTTAGAAATTTGCGTTTGTTCTCCTGCAAAAAGTCTCATCTACACGAAATCACCGATTTCACATAAAAAAGCTTTCGAAATGAGTAGTTGTTTACATTTTGTTCGTGATAGTCAGCATTGCTCGGTGAGTTCCAATGCCATCATTATGCGAGAATGAGTGGGGCCTAGATAGTAGAGCCAGTGCGAGCCTCTGCGAAGCAGAGGTGACGCACTGGTTAAAAATAAAGAGCGAAGTACATGCAATTTTGAATTCAACCTGAGCACCTACTTCAGGCAGTATCTTGCCGACACACATAATTCTGATAACTATTTGGCTTTTCATGGTTCTTTGTTTCTCCTGCAAGCAATATTTAGAAAGAAATTTCTGCTTGTTACCTCAACTGAAAAAGATCAAAGCTCTTACCTACGTAGCACCTGAAAGCTAGCACGCACGCGATAAGACAAAAAATAGTGAGGGCCGATTATATGAAAACATTCTGAGGATAGACAACATTTTCGTGCTTATCATTTATAGGATAAACTGTTTACTCAATGAATCACATGAATCATCAAACTTAAAGAAATGTGTTCTGAAAGTCTGAATTTGTACGTTAACCTTTTTTATATCTATCACTGTCCAGTACATACAGTCGGGAAGATTTCTGCTTAATATAGTGTTCCTGCAGACGCGACAACGCTGGGGCGTCAATAATTGCCTTGCGAGTTCCCGAGTGAATGTTTTCCACTGTTTTCTTTGCTTATCCTTTGCTTTTCAGGTATTTCTTGGCGGATCAAGAGGAAAAGGGTAGGTTAGACAGTTTCTGTTTTCTGAGAAGTTTCATCATCGCATATTCACAGATGTCTACGTAGAAGCAGTTCGCGTCAGTTTTACGCCTATTTTTTGTGTCATTTCCTTTTCTTTTGTCAATTCAACCCTCTTTCTTCTTGTGAGACGTTTCTTTGAACGCTAGTTGGCTTGTCTCAACTTCGGCTTTCAACCATAAAAAATATCATTAGAGCGAGAACTTCATGTGATAAAGACAATAAGTCAATGGTAAAAAGCTACTAGCGTTCAAGGAAGTACTTCACAAGAAGAAAGAGACATAAAGTGACAAGAATACGCATGAAACTGATGCGATCAGCTTCTACATGGATATCTGAGATTAAGCGATGAAATAGCTACTCAGAAAACAGACTTTATCCTCTAACTTACCCTCTTCTCCTTTACCAGTGACGATTTACCTAAAAAGAATAAGAATAAGATAAGAAAACACTAGAAAACATTCACTCGGGAACTCGCAAGGCAATTATTGACGCCCCAGCGTTGTCGCGTCTGCAGGGACACTATTTTGAGCAGGAAATCTACTCGACTGTACGTCGGAACTCAAAAACAAAATTTACCCGTCGTTTCACCTTTTGATCAGCCAAAATTAGATTATCTGAGCTAGATGTTGGAAATTTTGAGAATTCCGCACGCTACTCACCATAGCTTTCGTTTTCCTTACCAGTGATGCATGAAATCAAGCTTGTAATTGTTTTCATAAACGAAAGAGAGACAGAGTAGCTGAAATTGTGAAAAGTGAAAAAGAAAGAAGGTACCACGTGGCTTACAAGGTTGTACCACTTTAGTTGTTTTGTTTCATTTATGAACCAACAAACATGATGGAGCAGTCCATGGCAAGGACAGTGTGCAGATCCACTATGAGAAAAAATCTGTCTACTTACAGGAAACAAAAATGCATAATGCACGAGTATACAAAGTGGAAGTTATGCGACTCTATCATGATTATGAACCCATGTCAAATACTGCAGCAATACCTGGGTATGCTCAAAAGCGGGTCATGATGCATACATTGGCGACCAGGACATAGGCTACGTATTGCAAAACTTGTACAACGAAGGTATCAACGAAAATGTGATAGTGATTGTTAACGTCTCATCTACAGAAATTTTAAAAAAATCCACGATAACACTCTGTAATGTGATTTTCTTCTGTCTGCAAACCCGGCATTTAGCGTGACCACCTCTTAACTAGAAAAGACCTTTTAGAATTCAAACGTGATTGTTTTTGTAGAAGGAACGGTGCTGTATCAAAAATTTAATGAGTTCCTAGAGATTTCGATCCGTCCTCAGCGGCAACATGCGCATATCACTGAAATAGCTGATTTTGCTCTCTGAGATGAACTCGACAACTTTGAGAGGAAGCTGACCTACTCGATTTCTCAGCTTTCAAATATGGCATTTTCTACGGCAAAAAAAGCACTTTCGGCATGCTTGGTTTTCCTTTATAAAAGAAAGCGTTATTGCATAGGTTTCTGACCGATTATGGGAACTGGCGCTCGCACGTGGATATGGGACTAACAAGGGTTGATTTACTTCAAAAGTTCAACAGCTGTACAGGCTTTCCCCGACAAGACTCTTCGTGTTACGGGAGGACGTTCTGCACTGAAAATTGCTGGACAAGAACAAAGCGGCATTGAGGAAGCAGATAATTATCTCATGTACTCGACCTCGCTCCACCAAACTCTCATTTGTCCCGCTCTTTTGCAACCTATAAATAGAGCTTTTTTCAATTTTGCAGACGATTTCAGACGCTGAGACGAGTTTTTGGGACCAAACTCGCTGAATTTCAAAAACCAATAAAAATTTGAGGCAAGGTGGCTAAAGTTGTGCGCAATAATGAAACATAGATTAATGAAGAAGACATTTTGTTGATTTACTTACTACGGATTTACGGATTTGCCTCCATGGACTTATAAAGTAGAACGACCTATCATTACCCTGAACTTACACTCTGCCAAATGACATGATTCTGATACACAAAGAACTGTAAAACTATCAAGTCAAATTTCCTTCAAGCAGAATTTTTTTGTTCCAGCTAGCTATGATCATGATTAAGACATGCATACATTATTACTCAGCTGGTAAAGTGAATCTCTCATGCATCGTTTAATCACGCCGACCTCAAACAAAACTTTGAAAGCTTGAAAATTTGAAAGCTTTTTCTGCTCACAATGCTGCTAACAAGGAAATGGTCAGAATTCGAAGTTGCCAATCCAAGCCAAGCTGCATAGTATTAGCAGCATAAAACGCTGGCTCGAAATCTGTCTTCCCTATCTGCAAAACACTTTTGTGGATGAAGTTATAAGCCATTAAGAGCCATCATTTTGCTAGGAAATCGTGCGTGTAAAGGGCAAATTTGGCCGTACAGAGCCATGTTCGCTTAATGTTAATCCAAAACATCCAAATGAATTACTTGAAATGGTCCATACCTAAAAACGAGCCAAACTGGCAATAGTAAGCTTAATTTTGCAATTTTTAAGCGCGATGTTTTCGCAGTAAGACTGCTCATAACTTCACTGCATACAAAGACGTTCTGCGGGATAGAATGAAAGGCAGATTTCGTGTCAGCGTTCTATTCTGCATCGAATGGTATACAGCTAGTTTGGGTTGGCCACTTCGACTTTTGACCATTGCCTTTCAAGTAGGACAGGTCTAAATTCTCCAAAATAAAAATCCAAAATACAAATTTAAACTCATCCAGATTTGATGCCTTTTTTCTATTTACCGGCTGTCTTCACCGTCTCCGCTCTTCAATATGTGTAATGCAAAGACGAAAATTTTATATTCCTCTCTATCATGTTTTACACTCTCCGGAATCCTCTCCGTATTTCATTTGCGGTACGACATCTTGCGAATGGAAAACAAAGTTTGACTGCAAATCCAATGGTGAAGCAATGATTACGTTTCTCAGCAAAGATGCGCAATTTGACATGTTCTGTGAGGGTACCGTGGAATTGCTACACATTTAAAAAAGCAAAATGAAATGTATATAGTGTATATATAGCATATAGTGGCGTGCCCAAAATCGAGCGTATCACTGAAGGCTGAACGTCCTTAAGTTTCTAGAGATTGCTTCGGAGCTACGCTTAGCGTTGAACTACAAGAGTCCTCAAGGCGGCAATGCCTTTTTGTCGCACGCGAGCGTTTGAAAGGCACCTTCCACTTTGTTCCAAAACTCTTATTCTTTTTTGCACCTCTTTCAAACGCTGAGTCCGAATCCAGGCAATGGAGTGAAACCCACAAAATATCGAAACGCCTTGAAGAGTCCATCGCGTACGAGAACTCCTTGCACCTGCTTCTCAGCCGTGGGCCAGATGCAAGCAGGCTAGACAGAGGCGCGGACGAGCGATGTGTTAGTTGGGCTCTCTCGGAAGAACCGGTCAATTTTTTGACTTTACCGTTTGCTAGAGATATCAGAATGGGCGTTGCAAACACACCCCTCTCCCCACTCAATGGCGAGGAACCAACGTGGCGAATCCGTCGAAGCTCTTTCGAAGCAAATCTCTCGCTTCGGAAGCAACTTTTGGCAGCGCGAATTGGGCAGCTACACAGATGGCAGTTGCTCTGCTGTCAGGCATCCAACTCTCATCGAACCATTGGTGGACGGCTTTGAGGTCCACAAACACGCACCATACTTTTCCACTTCTTTTGATTCGCCAAATGACAATTTTGTGATGTCGCGTTTTGCTCCAAAGCAGCTTGGATGAAGAAAGGGGATGAAGTTCATACGTGTGACGATTTTTTATGTCCAGAAAAGATTGATCAAACTTCTTAAGGCACATCACATAACACTCACAATTTTAAGGGAAGTCGTTGAAAATATTTTACTAGATCTGACTTCTACGGTGCTCATATGTGCATGGATTTAATCGTAGTTTAGTTCAAATGAATTTTTGCAAATCATGGTGTTGATTTTAAGGTTTCAACATTCACATAGTTCCTTTGTACAGCTCGTTTTTGAAGAATAATTTGAAGCCAGTACATTTGCACAAAGCGATTTTATTGATGAAGGTTTAATTCAAACGAAGACTCCTATGCGAAAGATAGTATACTATTGAGTTTTTGTTTTCATAACTTTAATGCTTAATCTTTCAAAATCAGCAAGGACACTGTTATAGCTAGAGAATCATCTTTGTTACGATAAGTGGGATAAATGAGAGAAGAACTGGCAAAGTATTTGATCCATTGCAGAGATCCTTCTTACAACAGCATCTGGTGACATCGTTTTTTGTTTCGCAACCTTCTTTCTGAAAGCATCAGCTTTTTTTTCAACAAGAAATCAAGGTTATGTCAAACCACAAGGCGAAGAAAGTTTCAAGTACTCACCATGCAAAAAGTCGCCTCGAGAGGACAGCCATATTCGTGAATTCTGTCTTTACCAGATTTCTTAGTTTCCCTAGAACTCCATATTTAACAACTTTTACTTTTGAAGAAATGTTGCTTACTTTCCGCAATATTTTATTTTGGTACATTCTGTGGTGCTCTTTGGCGGCTTGTCTTTATTCTTCGTAGTTCCTGGAGTAATTTTTCATTTCAAAAGCACAAGTACAGGCAGAAACATACGGTTTCATGAACATTTTCGGAACGAAGAAGTTGTGTTAATTGTAGAAAACGTACCGTAATAGCATTTAAGGGCTAATGCACAGCCGACAAGAGCAAGAACGATGATTAAATATTTGAGTGAAAACATTCTGGGTGTAGCACTTGTACAACAAATACTTATAGGTTAGGATATTTGCGTAGTGATTCACTCCGTTTTTGTTCAGAACTGATAAGGACTGGAGTGCGTTTTTTGTTCTATAGGTTATTTCAATGCTATTGGATAAGAGAAAATTATTCGGTTGCATAAAAAAAAGTTTACAATCTAGTAAATATTTCACCACTTACAATCAACATTGCACAATGCTAAACAATGACTTTCAATTCGCACAATTTGTATAAGTAAACATTGAAAAGTGCAGCGATTACTGTTGTGATTTGAACTCGTTGCGTTTAAAAAAAAGCTGTTACAGTAACATAACATTTTCCTATCAGTGTTTTGCGTAGGAAACAAAAACGTCTCTGAACGTCTTGAACTCTTAGCTGCAATAAGATGGCCCCTTGTTCGAAAATTCAATCTTTAAGTGTAATAAGGTACTAGTGGCAGTTAGAAAAATTCTACCAAAAAGGAAAGGGGGCACTACAAAAAATGTTTTGAATGATTGGCCGTAACGCTAGCCACCACATCTGAAAATAATAGCGGATGTATGATGTTTGAAGGCTTCAGCCACTCCTACGAAGAAAATGCTAACAATGCCCAATCTGCCTAGAAGCAACAAACAAACTTGAGCTTCACCTTTCTGAAAATCTTTTTCTTGCGCAATTCTTGTTAAGCTTGATCTCAAAAATGTTTCGAAATGTTATCTTGATGTAATTAGTAGACTTCTTAGCTACTCTATGAAAATAATTTCTTCTGAGTGCAAAACGCATGGAACTATATCGAGCCATCTGTTCATTTTTCAACGAAAGTGACGTGATAGTGGAGATTTCTTCTAGATCACCGAAGCTTATCGAAGTAAGTGACATGACAATATTCTGTGACAGAACCGACGTTTTAGTGCACATTGCATCTAGCTATAGGGCGTGGTCGTTGCCTACTTGTTGAATATGGTCCAATGTCATTCAAGAAAGTTATGCATGTATTCTATGTATGCAATGTTGGGGTCGCTCTACTTTAGAAAGAAACGTTTGTTATAGCCATCATTTATGAGAACCTTGCATTTTTTCCTGGGAAACTACAAACTTGGGAAACAAAATTTTCAATGATGAAACATATTGCTCTTGCTGTATGGTCTTCATAACATGGCTGTGATCTTACGTTACACAACAAAGTTATCGAAGGAAGTTGTACTAAGACCAAAACGAAATCGGCACTTGCCAACGTATTCTATATCAGCATTCATGACTCTTTCAAAACGTCTTGACCCTTTCAAGGATAGTATAGGCACCAAGTCGCTAAGTCGACTTGCTAACCTGCAAGAGCAAGTGTAACAAAGTGTCGATGGAGTCATCGCTGCTACTCCTCTCCGGATAATCTGCTCTATCTGTCAGTTTCTCTTCCAAACCTGCGAAGCTCAGGAGAATAGGCATTTGATTTGAAGTTCCTTCCCCAATGTCGGGAGATAAAATCAAAATATAACAGCCAAAGGAAAAAAGTCCATTACGAAATCGGTTAGTTAGACAGTTTCTGATCATGCAAATCAGAATCGAGAATAATTACGAAAAGATTATCTTATTTATTTGCCAAAAAGTGAAAGACAGTTCTCTGTTTCCGACGATTTGCATTGTCGGGTACTTTCCATGAACACATTCGCGATGAATGCCGAGTTGTTATGCCCAAACATCTGAGAGATACTTCTTTGATATGAAGCACGTAGGAAAGTCGAATTTATTTTGCCGCCGACAGTCGACAAACAACCCACATTTGTTTTGTTGAGGCGCTAATTTGAGAGGATGGAGCTCAAAATTAGTGTCTCAACTTTGCCTAGTGAAGCGTTGATCAGATACAGCGTTTTGGCGCTCAGTTATGATGTATCAGTTTACAGTTTACTGAGAAAGACCACTTTTGAATGGTATGGTTAGAGCGGGATTGCACTATCATTGCTAATTTCTCTAGCTGTGAATAAGGAGAAATATAAGCGTGGAAACCTCTGAAGTACTGGTATCTAGTTTCTTTTATGCTGATTAGATCCTCGTATAAAAGAGCTTGAGATTAATTTGAGTAAATATCTATGTGGTGTTGCAAGCCGAGCAGGTGCTTTTGATTCTTTTTGAAGAAAAGTTTACTATTAGGATGATGCACAGTTCCTGCACCAAAAAATACAAAAAAATTATTTTAAAAATGCTTAAACAAATTATTCAACTTACATGTTCTGCTCTATGTTATGTATCAAAAGTAGTATTTTATAGTACATTCTAGAAAATCAATTTGAAACAAAATCGATAAGTCGTTTCAAAAAAATCGAAATTCGTAAATAGCAGAGACATCCAATCACTACCAACTTCTCTTAGTTAAAAAGAGCATGCCATAGAACTTGCACCAAAAATGAATTCAAATTCTAGTAGACGTTTTGGCAATTTTAGTGACTAAAAATCGAAAAACCACTTTTTGGGTATTTCTCTTATTCACCTTGCATCGTTGCCATATGCCCTCAAGGACTTTTGGCTCGAGCACCATCAGAAAGCGCAAGATTTGCTCTATCTACTATATATCGAGCTAGAAGATTTGATCGCAGCTGGATAAAGTAACAGAATTTTTAAAATTTTGGTGCAAGAATTATGCATCAACCTAATAGTTTGACTTACATAATTTTCAATGAATTCTCAAAAGTATGCGTAAAAAACTCTCATCACTTTTGCTTTCTTGTTTGATGTTCCTATATAATCCTATTCTATAGTTCCATTTCCCTGGTACACCGATAACGATGTCAGGTTGACAGCTAATTGTTGTAAACACTGCATACCTTTATCTGGCAGCAACATTAATTCCCCGTTCTGGGGAGATCACGCTAAAGCATGCAAATGAAGCACAAGCTCGCAAAACGGTGAAGATTTTTGTAAAGGAAGATTTTCAACGTTAGATTAATGTTCATGCTTGACTACGCATTTTTCATCGTTTGTAACGTTCTGTCCGCAGCTTACTCAAAGCTTGCCCTTACATTTGTCCGCCAAATCCTACATCCTTCCACTTCCACACCCTCGTCGAATTTCCTTCTGGGCTGTTAGCAGTTAAACTTTGTTAAGCTTGATTTTCAATTAGATCACCTTAGTAGACTTCACTATCTATTTCTTTGACTTGACTGGTTGAGTTGCGACGTAAGCAGTGCACTCTCATATATAATGATCAATAAATTCTGTACTTTATGCCCTTATCAAATTGAAATCAAGTTTGAAAACCAGTGTCAAAGCAATTGGTGGGCTTTTTAGTAAGAAATTTTTGAGTCAGAAAGGATGAACCATTGAACCTTTGCTATTTCAAGTATCGAAAATAGAGCAAATATAGCTTTGGCAATTCCCTTATCGAGTTGTACCGCTGTCGATTTGCCAAGAATGACTTTTGCTTCAAACTCATGAAAAACCGCTTTTCCCATCATAATTTTAAACGAATCTTTTGAAAATGGCGAGTATTATAGATTTATATAGATACGCAAGGATCTTGTTTTGCAATCAGTGGACAACCCAGTCACGAGGTCTAACACAACTCCTAAGAGTTCGACTGCCTACCTGTGCCCCATCTCGTTATGTTTTTGAGCCTTCTCTGAACAGTGTTGATCAGTTACAAACAGTCACAAGTAGCGACTAGATCTGGATTCAACGCCACTATTGAAACCCTGCGAAGTCTAGTATAGCCCGTTTCTTTTTTGAAAAAAAAAACAAGTTCGAAGAGTGAACTATGAAGCTATAACCATATCAAATTTTGCATGTTGTTAGTAAAGATTTACTTTTGAACGGAGACCTTACGTAAATTATCGTGTACTACAAAACTTCATATTATTCTGAGCGTTATCAGTATGTTCTCTTTCTTTTCCTAACACCACTGTTCATTGGACTTTGCTGTCATTAGTAGAGGATGAACTTTACCAAAATAAGCGGCATAAATGAGAGAAATACTGGCAAGCTTCTTGATCCATTGCAGAGATCCTTATTACAGCAGCATCTGGTGACGTCATTTTTGGTTTCGCAACCTATTTTCTGAAAACTATATCTTTTCAAAAAAACATCGAAGTTACGTCAAATCACAAAGGCATAGGCAGTTTCAGATACTCACCATGCAATCCGTCGCCGAGAAAGGACAGCCATAAGTGTGAGTGCTGTCTTTACCAGACTTCTTGGTTTCTCTAAAATCATGCGTTAATCATGTTTTTTTTTAGCTTAAATTCTAGTCACTCACTTCATGCAGTACTTTATCTTGTTACATTCTAATGTGGTTTTTGGCGCCTTCTCTTTGTTCCTCGTGGCACCTAAAAGATATTGTTTCAAAACCGAGGAGAGATCCAGAGTTTTACAACTTTCCGAAAAGCTTGCTGGGGAACTGACCAAAACGTACCTGAATAGCATTTGAGAGCCAGTGCGCAACCGACAAGAGCAAGAAGAATGAGGATGTGTTTAAATGGAAACATTACTGAATGGGTGTGACAATTATACAACAAATACTTATAGGGTAAAATATTTACATAGTGAATCACCACGGTTTTGTCGGATAAGGAAGGCTTCTCAATGCCAATTTGGTTTATGGATTATTTCATTAATACCAGGGAGAGAGAGGAGAACACATGGATGGAAAACTGAGAAGCAGATTGACTCACTCACATTCAAAAACTCAATGCTTTTGAACGCCAACAAAATTGTCATGAACTTTATCTTCACTGAGTAAATCCTGACGAAGAGTAGGGGTAGCTGCTGTCTTTTTTGCCATCTATAATAATATTTACTATAATATTACTTCACATTTTTTGTACCAATTTCAACGACAAACACAAGTGGACATAACGATTGCCGTTCTTGGTGTTGGCCGATCGAGCATCTTTTCTACTTTTCTTACTTTCAAGTGCAAGCCAGAAATAAGAAGAAAAGTTCACGGCTTGCTTACGACCCTTCAACACATAGTCAAACAACTAATGCTATAAAATTTATTTCTTTTCAAAGAATTATTGTTCACAGTGGCATTCGCGTTGTGCGAGAAAAAAACATTGTTTGGGAAAAACTATGTAATCTATCAAGTTGGCGCTTAAGCAACAAGAAGGTAAATTTCTATTCTTTTTAAAATAACATTGTCTTGTGCGATGCGACGACTTCGAATATAATAAATACTAAAATACCTTTACAAAAGTTAAAGTTGACATATCTACTGGATCATAGAATAGTATTTCCATGAGAATATTTGCTGCAGAAAAAACTTTATGAAGCACAGTGATAGTCGAATGTAGAACTTTTGCATATTGTTTTCTAATGCAGGCCAAAAGGTATTTGGCAATTACAACTCCGCAAAAGTTTCTAAAGTGGAATTGCAACTTTATCATTTGTAAACAACTACAGCTCTCCGTTTGGTTTCCGACATCACGAATTTCATCTAAACCGTAATATTAGATCAGTGGTGCGTTTCATAATCACGTAAATCTACACCCATTTGAAATTTTCTTATTATAATCCAGCTCAGGATCTCCAAAATTTGTTCATATAATCTTGACTTGATTGATTTGATTTACTTTTGGTTTCTAGGAAAGTTTGTTCGGCCTTTCAAATTATTACGCATGCATTTTATCTATCAACCCAAAATCTCACAAATAGGGGATTCTCCGATAGGTCTATCTGAAGATAAGTCTAGTGCGAAAAGACCGCTTCGTACTCATCTGACAAGATTTCAAATTAGTTTTAATGAACAGAAGGACAATCTATAGGGCGGACTTATAGACGAATTTATCTAGGTCAAAAGGAACGTTTTCTGTAAGTCTTTGGAGTGCAATGAATCACCTCAGCTTTTAACTACCAAAGCGGTGGAGATTGACAAGTGTTTTATCATGTCTATATCACTGCATGCATAAAGACAGTGTCTCACCATAATTGGGGTAGTGCGGGTCTCCACATATTTTGTTAGATGACTCAGTGAAGCAACTGCCCCAAGTCCCATAACCAGCCCTTTCTACGCCGAGAAATTTACCATCAAAGTGGTTAGCAAAGCGCGATTTGATCCGCACGGCCGACGCTCTTGGTTCTCCCCACACACGTTTCAACATGTCCCTGCACTGGCATACCCTTCCATGGTGTTGCTGTTAGGGATCGTTCAGACTGCGCACAAAGGCGCACGAAGGCGCATGAAGGCGTGTGTGAGTTTGTGTGTGTGTCGAAATAAACGAGACGAGACGCGCCTTTGTGCACCTTTGTGCGCGGTCTGAACGATCCTACTGTGGCAAAGGCTAAGCTGGAAGGCACAGCTCGTCCGCGATGATTCAACGGGGCTTTCAAGAAACGGGATTTTCGTACATTTTTTACAAGTTTGGACACGCGATGAGAAAGAGAGGGACGAATAGGCTTGAAATATGCAACAAACCGTTGATCGTTGCAGTGAATATTTGTGTCAGTTTTTGCTCTCCATGCACTTGCACTTTCGCTATGAAAGTAAGAGCATAAAACAATTCAATGAAAATCATCATTAACTCGTCAATTTCTCTTCTACTGGTCCACTGAGTGTGTGATACAAGAGTACACAAAAACTTTCATCTAGTCATGGAATTTCTGCACTCGTCTCATAAAAAGCGTTTTGGCTGTAGAGCATTCTAGGCCTTGAAGCTCATCAAAATGACCTAACAAATGTGTTACAGAAGCATAGTTCCAACTGTGTTATCCTCCGATGAGGCCCTGACACAGTCTGTGTGCGAGGACCTTTACGACAGTAACATAGCTATGCATGTGTGTATCTCCAGCTCTCATAGGACGGAGCTGTCAAGAGCGCTCCATACGTGCGTATTTTCAAACGTAACAAGGCATTGCTATGCTCATTGCTAATAATTGTCCCAAATGTAAACTCTTTTTTTGCCAATTCAAGCTGTTTTTATTTTCCAATCTAAAGTAACAATCGATAGAGCAGATCAAGCTCTACAATACCCTCAAGGACCCGCCTTAATCATAATCCAGGTAAAATAAATTCGAAGATTAAAACAAATTCTATCACCTCAAAATTGGATGTTTGCGAAAAAAAGTCCTACGCAACTCCAACTTGGTCACCATACAGTAGGCACATAGTAGTACTCAAATATGGATTGACTGGATTTTTTGCTTGCATAGAAAGCGAGAAAAAAAGAGTCCAAAAATGGCAAACTCTGTCCTCATTCCCTCCCACACTTGGTATTGTATATTACAAGTTTTACTAAGTATAATCCCAAAACTTTGACCTTGTATGTGCTCTTATGGTCGAGAAATATTAAGTTTTACATGAGCAATCTGGAAAAGTGACATTTTGTTCGGTCTTTGTTTCTCATTTTAAGCCCCGGAAAAAGCCCACCAAATACATTTTTGGATACCACTATGTGTCTACCATATAATGACCAAGTTGAAAGGAATTTTCTGAAAGGAAGTCCGATTTTTAGAAAGCTCAAAAAATTTTAATTTTTGGCTCAAATTTCCTTTGATGAACATTTAGGTGGAATTTTGTTTTGGTGGTCTTTTCGTAGAGCTTGCTCCGCTTTATCGAATGATACCCTAAGTCTGTTAAGAAAACAAAAACAGCTTGATCTAATTGAAAATTGAGTTGGGACATTTGGGACCCTAATACATCCTTGAGCTGTCATATTCTCCACCGCTTTTGTCCCACCGAGATGACGCAACACCGAATCAAAGATATCGTCTTATTGCCCTTCACGTCAGCCACTGCTTATCTTTGAGAGTCAAAGTGCCTCAATGAATCATAATGACCTGATCAATTGCATCAATCCATTTCTTGCAGATTTACAAAGATTGACTCACACTTTCATAATGTCAAGAAAACAGTTCACGAGTGATACCATAAGTGGGCAACTTAGTGGGCGGGCATTGACCATGATACTTGATAGCAAAGGCTCAACTTAGGCATTTGATCAGACCCGTGTTAATGTTAACAAAAAATATTGTGTCTAACCAGATTGCACATTGTTTTTCCCCAATAATGCTACAGGAGATAGAAGTTGTGTCCCCTATCCCTTAATGTGTTCCTGTGTAAGATCAACATCCTCAAATCCGCTTCGCTGCCTGAGTGGTATTTTAACTGAATATTCTATTCGCAGCATATTATTAGGCTGGAAAGTTTTTCTCTCATAACTTTACTCTGTCTGGATGCGCAGTCAAACTTTGGTAACCGCTGCGTACAAACGGTTTGAATTTTGGGTATGAATAAGAAAAACCTCAGCCATTTTTTTCGAAAACTAGTGAATCTCGAGAATTTCTGGGGTCGAAAGCCAAAATGAAGCCGTTAGCAGCCTGGACCAAGCACATTGATTTGAAATAGTGCATGAATTGTTGTTAGAGGTTGACCGTTCGGCTCAGGTTAAAAAAAATAAAATTTAGCGGGAAATCGAGATGGCGCCCTCACAAAGTCGATTGAGCCGCTGTACGCAAGGCCGCTGGGGACAACCGTCAATGACTAAAGGCCGCATGCACCAACATCCCTGCTGGGCAGGGGATCGCAGTTTAGAAAGAAAGCCTCATATCGTGAAGCTCCAGATATCTGGATTTCACGCTGTATAAATATCCGTAAGTATTTCTACCTTCCTTCACCATGAACATATTGAACAGAAGCGAGAAGCTGTAAAAACCGCATCTTCCAGCATTTTGTATGATCCCCTGATGATTCCCGGCTCCGACCATCTTTTCTTCAGAATCATTTTATTTCCTCAAAGTTAATAAAAACCTTCCAAAATTGTGCTGAACATCTAAAGCAACAGTGCTAAACATGTTGCTGATAAGAACAGATGAGTTTTTTAGAGAATCGATTCTTTCGATAAACCCCAACATTCGACTTGTGGCTATCGCAAATTTCATGGCTCCAATACATCATTTGTTCTTATCAGCAGCATGTTTAGCGCTATTGGGCTAGATGAACAGTACTTTAAAACGTTTTCGCTAACTTTGAAGAAAGATGACTGAAGAAGAGACGATCGGCCACCAGGGATCATAAAAAATTAGGAAATGCGGCTTGTACAGCTTCTCCCTCCCATTTAATATGTTCATAGTGAAGGATGGTAGGAGCATTACGGGTGGTAGACAGCGTGGAATCCAGAGGCTCGGAGCGCAAAACATGAAGCTTTCTTCGTAAGTTGAGATCCCTTCCTCGACGGGGATGTCAATGCATGCGGCCCTAACTCAGACAATCGCCGGGGGCAGGCGGGCACCGGAAAAATAGATTAGGATTTTTTGGGACATCGCTTGTTGGGTTCTCGATTTATCAGAGATTCAGCAATATATCTGCGAAAGACAAGAGCGAACAAAGATTCAACAAGCGGTCTCTCATAAACTGCTGACCATTTTCCGGAAATTTGCGAGCGAAGTGCGAAATGTCAGCAACGCGAATTTTCCGGCGCCCGCCTGCCCCCGGCGATCGTCTGAGAAGGATCAGAACCTCGAAATTGCCGAGACTTAGCAAACTGCGGTTATTTGACCTGCGAAACACAAATATCATGTTTAGCTCTTGTACCAACACTTTTCTTCACTTGTCTTGGGTGAAACCCTATGCCAAACGTACAGTAATCTTGCTAAACCTCTCAAATTTCATAATTTTTCCCCTCAAAGCATAAACCTACCGTAACCCACACTGCAACATCAGAATTTAGCAGAACAATAGCTGCGTTTGTAGCTTACTTAATCTATATGATGGCAAAATTTGG